TACTTGGTAAGAAACATGGTAAGAACCATGAAAGTAGCATGAACAGAGTGGTATGGGGGTGCTAAAACAGTGGACATTACCTCCACATTGGGTTGTATCAGGCTATAACAAGGTGATACAACCTGCTCCATCTACATCACAAAAATAGGGTTTTTTGTGATTAAATTGAGTTAAAATGCTTGATCCAAGCTAAGATATATGATATGCAGTATATGCAAATAGTGCCAGAGGGAAGAAATGGCTTCTGTTATGAGCTGAATTTCATCTCCCCAACATTCATATGTTGAAACCCTCACTCCTAGTACCTCAGAATGACCGTAAGACATGATTAAGGAAAACTGAGCCCATTAGGGTGGGTCCTAATCCAATCTAACTGGTGTCATACTTATAAGAGGAAATTTAGACACACAGACACCAAGGATGTGTGGACACAGAGGAAAGGCCATGTGAGGACACAGCAAGAGAGTGGCCATCCACAAGCCAAGGTCTGGGAAGAAACCAACCCTGCTGGCCTCTTGATCTTGGACTTCCAGCCTCAAGATCGCTGAGAAAATAAGTATCTGTTTACTTTTATTATGGCAGCCCTAGCAAATGAATACAGCTTCCGTGAAGAACTACTGGTTCTATAGAATGGCTGGAGAGGAAGAAAGATAAAGCTGGAGAAGTAAATAGGAGTCAGCATACAGGACCTGTGTGCCATTACAACTAATTTAGATTTTATTCTGAGGGCAATGCAGAACTGTAATTCATGACTGAGACAATCCAACCAGCTTCACAAATACTAAAAAATGGCCAAAAACTGTTCCTGGACCAGCGTCCTGGGAATAAGTTCGAAATGAAAATTTTCAGGCCTCCTCTCAGACCTATAGACTCAGAATATGTGGTGTGGGGCACAGCAACAAACCTTCCAGGCCATTTTGATGCAAGCTGAAGTTTGAGAACCTCTAGCCTATAAAGCAAGGCAAGACTAGAGGTCCTACTTACTTCACAGATTAAAAGGATCAAATAAGATAACATACATCAAAATGTTTTCTAAGTGGTTACACATGTCGTTATTAACACTGTTAATGGCTCTAAAACTGTCACTTCCCAGCTCCCAGATTCTTTCCCAATGCTGGCATGAGTAGTTTTTTAGAATGCTCCATCTGATGATTTGCTGTAACTTTGAAGTGACTGCAGATCCAACACTTTTTTTTTTTTTTTTTTTTAGAGACGGGGTTGCGCTCTTGTTTCCCAGGCTGGAGTGCAATGGCGCGATCTCGGCTCACCGCAACCTCCGCCTCCTGGGTTCAGGCAATTCTCCTGCCTCAGCCTCCTGAGTAGCTGGGATTACAGGCACGCACCACCATGCCCAGCTAATTTTTTGTGGTTTTAGTAGAGACGGGGTTTCACCATGTTGACCTGGATGGTCTCGATCTCTTGACCTCGTGATCCACCTGCCTCGGCCTCCCAAAGTGCTGGGATTACAGGCGTGAGCCACTGCGCCCGGCCGATCCAACACTTTTTAACTTAATCTTCTACACATCATGATATAGGAGTGATACATGCGAAGAGTTTTATAGTAAAGGTGGAAACAAAGAGCTATCAAGAGCTATTAAGTGTCAGTACTTGGGAACTGAAACATGGACACGTCTAGAACAGACAGCTCTGTGGATTTGTTCTATTTCACTAAGAAATGTCTGTTCATTTATTCTTCCAAGAGGACTTTCCACTATTACAGAATGCTCTGAGCGTTTATTTCACCTGTTTAATAGCCTAGCTTTCCCCTCTGAAATTCTTTTAGTTGCTTAAGACCTGTGAAAGAAAAACAAATCTCAGTGTTACCAGGGTCCTGATCCAGAGTGCAAGAGAGAGTTCTTGAATCTCACACAAGAAAGAATTCAAGGTGCATCCACAAAGTGAAAGCGAGTTAATTGCATAAAGGAATAAAGAATGGCTACTCCATAGGCAGAGCAGCCCCAAGGCTGCACCCGGCTTCTTTGCATATTTTTTAAAAATATACACATATTCACAAACTTCCATAAAAGTGTTCCTGGCCAGGCATGGTTAACTCAAGCCTGTAATACCAGCACTTTGGGAGGTTGAGGCGGGCGGAACACCTGATGTCAGGAGTTCGAGACCAGCCTGGCCAATATGGTGAAACCCCATCTCTACTAAAATATTAAAAAATTAGCTGGGTGTAGTGGCACACACCTGTAATCCCAGCTACTCAGGAGGCTGAGGCAGGAAAATCAGTTGAACCTGGGAGGCAGAGGTTGCAGTGAGCCAAGATCGTACCATTGCACTCTGGTCTGAGCAACAAAGTGAGTCTCCATCTCAAAAAAAAAAATGTTGAGGTCGGGCTTGGTGGCTCACGCCTGTAATCCTAGCACTTTGGGAGGCCAAGGTGGGCGGATTGCCTAAGCTCAGGAGTTCAAGACCAACCTGGGCAACATGGTGAAACCCCGTCTCTAAAATAAATAAATAAATTAAAATGCATCAATTTTTTTTCAAGTTTTAGCTTCACACAGAAAATATCTTTTCACTATTTCTCAAGATTTGTAGGCATCAATTCTGTGGTATTTTAAGGATTTTTTAAAATGTTAATACTTGTTTAAACATAAAAGATAGCTTTTAAAATATTTGATCAATGCAACACAAAAGGCTGAGCATGGTGGCTCATGTCTGTAATCCCAGCATTTGGGGAGGCTGAGGCGGGCGGATTGCTTAAAGCTAGGAATTCAAGACCACCCTGGACAATACCGTAAAACTCCATCTCTACAAAATATACCCAAATTAGCCAGCATGGTGCTCACCTGTAGTTCCAGCTACTAGGGAAGCTGAGGTAGAAGGATCTCTTGAGCCTGGGAGGTTGAGGCTGCAGTGAGCCGTCACTTCACTGCAGCCTTGGTGACAGAGTGAGACCCTGTCTCTAAATTAATAAAGACTTTTTTGATTCAGAAAATTTCACAAGGAAATGAGAGTTTTTAGAAGTCTTGATATTCTGACTTTGGTCAGAATGTCCAATAGAGACTAGTAATGCATAAGAAAGGAGATGAGGAAAAGAGTCAACTCCTTAAGGAAGGTGAGGGCCAGAGTGGTGGAATTTGCTTCTGACAAGACACATCTTTCCTCTGAAAAGAAAAATGCAAGAGAAAATGAATGCAGATTTGAAAGTCTGACATTGAAGCATTCCCCACAGATGGTTTTTATTTTCTGAAGTTGAGGCAAGGTCACCAGCTAAAAATGAGAGGTGAGGAAAAAGGATGTGAGAAATTTGAGAAGTGAACGTATGAATGGTTAATCCAGAGACTGGAATAGCATTGCCAGCCAGTGTTGAGTGCTCCTGAGAGGACTGAGCTCATGAATTAAAACCAGCTAGACTGTTATATGACTGACTGACTTTTCTCCAGCAGCTTTTGCTGTTTGGATGCAAGCAATGAGAAGGGTCATCTGGAGCACAGTTTAGTCCAAGCAAGGCTGATATTTTTTCAAGCAAAAAATGAGACACTGAGATTAGAGATTTGAAAATGTTTGTATTTTGCAAATATGCATTGATGGGGAGAAAAAAGAAAATATTTGTTATGACAAGGACTGATGAGGGAATTTAAGTCAGGTGAGTTGCAAAATGATTATATGATGGCAGAGGCAGAAGAGTTGAGTTTTTTAAAGTGTGGGGGTTAATACAGTGGAGGTCTTAATTAGGTAAGTGAAAGTACAAAAAATTAGCTGGGAAAAAAGGCTAGTGATTGACAATTGGGAAGCTTGAAATTGAGATTTCAACTGATGACAAGGTTCAGAGTCTGACTGACGCAGAAGTGGTTAAGACTGAACGGAGGAACAAATTGTTGGAGATGAAGAGGTCAGAGGTCTAAGAGGTCAAGCGCTGGTGTTGCATGGGTCACCTACAAGGATGTTGAATTCAGACAGAATGCAGACAAGAGGGACAGTGAGGAAAACCTAGGGCAAGCAGCTCTATAATTTCTGGGAAGTGGCCAGTAGGCTTTTGGATGATGGCAGTAAAGATAGCAGAAGGTGATTTAATCAGAAGATATGAACTTCAAATATTTTTGAAGGAGAAAAGAACAGAAATAGTTTGGAAGTAGTAATTAGGACCAAAGAGACCACCCAACTCAATAGGCCAATCTCTTAGCCTTAGGGTACACAAAATATGATAAATGTAACCTCAACTTCTGGAGCTCTACAGCAGTAAATCTGCAAGTAACCACCTATAGCTAATGTCCAGGGATAAGAAGAAGAGAGATAATGAAAATGTCTTTGCTCAGGGAACATTAATTTCAGGCAACTAGAATGCAGTTCTTTGTGAATTGTATCTTGAATATTGGCCTGTAGGACATGATATTGTGTATTCAAAACAACTTTTAGACTCAACAGGTTGGTGAGGGATTTTTGGCTTGTTTTTTTGCTTGTGAGGGAAAAAAAGATGAGTTATTGTCTCTAAGGATTAAACTATCTGGAAAATTTTTGGGGAAAATTCCTATGAATAGAGTTCCAATGTAGCATCCCCAGGGGACTTTGAGACTCTGATATTGTACTCTACACACATCAAACTTAGGTAGAAGAATATTATCTTGAAATATCAGTGATGCCTCCTCCTCTGAGGATCCACTTAAGGGACCTGGCTGCCCAGGTACTGTCATGCCATAGGGCAACTGTCAGAGCCTGGAGAACCTGCTATGTATTCCACTTTTGTCAGATAAAATCTAGCCCTGGTGACTCTGACCCTTTTCAGTTGGAACAGCAAAACCTACTTCTTAAAAACCATTAGTACAGTCAAGCTAGAACCAAATTTTTCCACTAACAAGCTAACAATTTAACAAGGTAATTTGTTAATTCGAATTGGATAGAACAAACTCATCAACAGACCCTGCAGAGATGAAGCTCAGGACTTTGTTGCTCCACCCATTATAATGTGAGATTATACTGTAAGAAATAACTGAACTGTGGTAGGCACATTGCAGATTGGGGCAGTCCCACATGCATTATATGTGCTGGGTTACCAGTCATTGCAAAATCATGGTCCTTTGCCTCTCAGCTCAGTTCCCCTTCTGAAGACAAAAACATTTGCCTGTGTCCAGGGAAGCTGAGGGGGCAAAAAAACCAAACAACTTTTACAAGGGATCATAAAAATCTACCTAACAACTTGCTAATTAAAACCTAATTTTAGGCCAGGCGCTGTGGCTCACACTTATAATCCCGTTACTTTGGGAGGCCGAGGTGGGTGGATCACTTGTGTTCAGGAGATCGAGACCAGCCTGGTCAACAGTGAAATCCTGTCTTTACTAAAAATACAAAAATTAGCTGGGCGTGGTGGCAGGCACCTGTAATCCAGCTACCATACTGGGGAGATTAAGAGAATTACTTGAACCTGGGAGGTGGGGGTTGCAGTGAGCTGAGATCATGCCACTGCACTCCAGCCTGCACAACAGAACTAGACTCCGTCTCAAAAAAAAAAAAAAAAAAACCTATTTTTTTCAGTACTTTTTAATGGCAACAACTTGACCAAAAATTTGTCACTGAATTTTGAGACCCATTAAAAAAGTTTCATGAGAAAAAAAACCTGACTTTTAATTTGCATTACTAAGTTTAATACCATTGCTTAATACTTAATACTCAGTGAATACTGAGATTTTTATAAAGGAATTAAACAATTGTCACTAAAAGAAATAATGTCTCCTCAATTTGAGCAAAACTAAATGGCTTAAATCCTAGGAAACATTTTTAGTGAAGGCATTTGTTTTAAATGTATTCTAACTTAACAGTGTAGAAAGCAACTAAACATTAAAAAAGAAAAATTTAACCAGTTTCTAAAACATAGTTTGGAGCTCAGATTCTGGGGAAATGATTAGGACACCCTAAATCCAAGGTCTCCTTTCCTTTATTTAGTTTTAGTTTTTGAGACGGAGTCTTGCTCTACTGCCCAAGCTGGAACGTAGTGGCTCAATCTCGGCTGACTGCAACCTACGCTTCCTGGGTTCAAGCGATTCTCCTGCCTCAGTCTCCTGAGCAGCTGGGATTACAGGCACGCGCCACGTGCCCTCTAATTTTTGTATTTTTAGTAGAGAAGAGGGTTTCACCATGTTGGTCAGGCTGGTCTCGAGCTCCTGACCTTGCCATCTGCCTGCCTCAGCCTCCTGGGATTACAAGCATAAGCCACCGCCCCAGGCTTTCCTTTCTAGAACGAAAGCTTCTTTAAACATACGTATTTATCAGAAATACAAGTATTTGTCATGAGTGATACAAATTTCCAGGAAAACATTTTAATTGTAGTAAATTTGTTAGATTTCTATCAGGTTTTAACTTGGATCAGTAATATGGGTTTGATTAGGGTTCTAGGCCTAATGATAGGTCACTAGGCTTCCTTTAGGGTTATGTACCATCTCAGTTATTTTGAATTGACCAGATAGGGAGTTCCCAAGGGTTCTGCTTCGTTTTGTTGTTTTAAGATTCTTATGGGTGGTGGGATCCACAGCCAGAGATGGCTTTCAACAAAATTGCACGCGTGAATTTGTCTTGAGTCTCAACGCACTGTTCAAATTAAACAATTTAGACATGCCCCAACTATAGGACCAAGAAGTGAATGGTATAGTACAATTTTGTCACAAATTCAAGGGCAATCTAAAGTGCCCGATGGTAGAGGTCCGCCTTCTCCTGGGTATCTGGAACAAAAGAAGCGTTCGCGAGTCGAGAGAGGAGTGCGTAACTCCCTGCCCTCCCCCTCCCAAAGTAAATCAAATCAAGGAATATGAGTGCCTACAGACAAGCCTCGCTTCTTTTCTTCCCCTTCAGGGCTAGCGTTTGGGGAGGGCGAGGCTGTGGGTACTCTTCGGTGCTTCAGTGTCCCGGGAGAAAGAAAGGCCCAGCCAAGGGTCCTCACAGCTGGCGTAGAATTCGGCCCGTTCGTAGGCGATCGACCCCAGAGACGAAAGCTGCTTCTCAAGCTGGCGGAGGGAGAGGAAACGGCGCACAAAAGCAGTACGACCTGTCCCTTATCGGCGTCTAAGGGGAAGGGTGGAGAAAACGAAAACAGAAGCGGGCCGGGTGCCTCGGCTCCCGCCCCAGCGCCTTTTAAACTGCGTTTCTACCTCCTCTCGCTCAGCGCGGCGGCTAATGGAACCCGCGCGAGCCCTCCCGCCAATCAGCGCCGCGCTTCCTCCCGTTGCCCGCCAATGGCGGCGCGCGTTCTTGGGGCGTGGGCGAAGCAGGCTGCTCGCCTCCTGCCTGTAGTGTGTGGGCTGGGGTTGGTGCGGGCTTCCAGCTTGGCCGCACTTGGTCCGTAGTTCGGCTACGGGGGCTTTTGTGTCCGGGTCTGGCTTGGCCTTGTGTCCGTGAGTTTTTGCTCCTCTCCGCGGCGCTCCTCCCGGGCAGGAGCGGTGAGGCTCTGAGGCAACACAGCGGCCCCCCGACCAGGAGCGAGCGCGCCGGCGTGAGCGGCGGCGGCTAAGACTGCGGGGAGGGGGCTTCGCAGATCCCCGAGATGCCGGAGTTCCTGGAAGACCCCTCGGTCCTGACGAAAGAGAAGTTGAAGAGTGAGTTGGTCGCCAACAATGTGACGCTGCCGGCCGGGGAGCAGCGCAAAGACGTGTACGTCCAGCTCTACCTGCAGCACCTGACGGCGCGCAACCGGCCGCCGCTCGCCGCCGGCGCCAACAGCAAGGGGTCCCCGGACTTCTCCAGTGATGAGGAGCGCGAGCCCACCCCGGTCCTCGGCTCTGGGGCCGGCCCCGCGGGCCGGAGCCGGGCCGCCGTTGGCAGGGTAAGGATGTGGGGATGGGGCCACAAAGGCGGGCGTTTGGCGGTTGCCGCGCGCGCTCGCCGCCCGCCGCAGCCCCTCCCTCCCGAGCGTCCCTTCGGGCCTCCCAGGTGCGGGGCTGTCCCTGCGCCGCCCCTTGCCCGCTTGGCTGCAGGCGCCGGAGCGGAGAAGTCAGAAGTTGGGGCCGCGGGGTTCGCATTCTTTGACGTGTGGTCTGGGAGGTGTGGAGTTGCGTTGGCGGCGGTTGTTTTGTACGCGGGTGGTGGGGCCCCCGCGCGGGCGATGTCGCGTCCGTCGACCACCAGCCGCTGGCAGCGGGCTTTTAGACGGGGACTTACGTGCCCTTTCGAAAGCTCTAGATGGGTGGCCCCAAAATGAGATAGGTTAAGTTCGAGCGTTTTCCCGCTTTATTAACTGAAATGACTCGCAACAGAGTCTCAGAGCGCTCCCTGGAGGGCAACTGATGACACACTAATTTCTAACCAAAATTTGAAATAAGGAAATTCCCGCCTTTTTATACTTTTGCATATGGAGGGCTTTTTGAACCGTTTATGTTTTCTAGTTTGTCTTAATCTTTCCTAGCAGTAGGCCATCTTTTGGCGGGACAGCTTCACGACAAATTAAAACGAGCATTTTAAACTACCTTTTTAAGCACCTATCAAATATTTAAAAATCTGGGTAAATTACTTAAAAATTACTCACAGTTTGGATTGAGTTTTCCCCCCCTTATTGCTAAATTTTGCTTGAGGAAAGGAAAGACTTAGGATTCAGGAAAAATTTATTTCATGACATTCTGGTGTATCGATATTGCAATTTGGAATGTCTGATGCCGGTTAAATCTCAAATCGGCTCTAGCAAAGCATGTTTTTTTTGAGAGTAGTTTGCTTTTTGTTCTGTGGATTTTAAAGTGCTTTTTGTGGGTTTGCTTGTGCCTGCCGAGTTACAGGGCTTCACATCGTAATAGGATGAAGCTAAACCTAGAAATGGGTGTAACGTAAAATGCCTTGTAAGACAGTGAATGTGGTGTTTGAAGTTGTTGCGATTGATCACTAGGGTAAACCAAAATTATTCCTTCCTTCAAAGTTTACAACACTTTGGTTTTTAAAGAACCTGTCTAATGTGTTTTCTTGGCTACTCAGGCGGAAATGAAAGACAAATGTAATAGACACATGTAAATTTAATTGAAAATCTTAGCCTGGGCTTTAGAGAAGTTGAAAGTTTTAACGTCTTGAGTACGGTGTCTGACAAATAGTAGTGCCAAATATATGTTGGACAAATAAAAGACCAATCACACCTTATTGTTTCTGATGTCTTGTTTTGTGCAAAGCTACTTTTGTTAATAATAAACAAACTTACTTTTGAAATAAATCGTACCCGCTTACCCATTATGTCCCCTTGCTCTGAAATAGAAAGTAGTATTTAAACTCTTTCAGTAAAGGCCGGGCGCGGTGGCTCACACCTGTAATCCCAGCACTTTGGAAGGCCGAGGCGGGTGGGTCACGAGGCCAGCAATTCGAGATGAGCCTGACCAACATTGTGAAACCCCATCTATACCACAAATACAAAAATTACCCAGGCGTGGTGACTCCTGCCTGTAATCCGAGTAACTTGGGAAGCTGAGGCAGGAGAATCGCTGGAACCCGGGAGGCGGAGGTTGTGGTGAGCCGAGATCACTCCACTGCACAACAGCCTCGGCGACAGTGAGAGTGTCTCAAAGAAACTCTTTCAGTAATAATTTGGTTGAAAAAATCAGCACAGTTGAAAAAAAAAAACCTAGATCTTCTATAAAACCCTGTGTTGGTCCTCTGTGCAAATGTCTTAAAACGTGAAGTTTTTTGTTGTCTGCTTATAATAGAATTACTGGTTATTATTTTTAGGCAGGATCTCTCTGCCTCCCAGGCGGAAGTGCAGGGGTGTGATAGCTCACTGCAGCCTCAAATTCCTGGGCTCAGGAGATTCTCCTGCCTAAGCTTCCCTGAGTAGCAAAGGCCATGGGACATGTGCTACTAATCGTGTGTGTGTGTGTGTGTGTGTGTGTGTGTGTGTGTGTGTGTGTGTGTGTGTGTGTGTGTGTGTGTGTGTGTGTGTGTAGGGGGCTTTCTGTGTTGTCCAGGCTGGTCTAGAACTCTTGGCCTCAAGCAATCCTGCCTCAGTGTGTGTGTGTGTGTGTGTGTGTGTGTGTGTGTGTGTGTGTGTGTG